TTGACAAAAATTTTTCAATCGATTAGTTGTCAACTAAGCCAACTAATCGATTTTTCGATTTTCGATTTGTATCACTATTGGAAATAGTTCCCCAGCTATTTGTTTGTACTGTATATAATGTGAAAATACTTCATCTAAAAAAAAAAAAAAAAAAAAAAAAAAAAAAAAAATTGGAATCATGTATTCTATTTTCTATTCTAACTGGCGGTCATTTTACTATCTATTGATATAAGGTTGCTTCTATTAAATGATATATATGTTCCTATAAAATTACCTACTTTAAAAACACAAAATCTACCCCTATTCAAGATCTCGCAACATATTATTAAAAGAATAAAGTATGTTGGCGTCTTGTATTTCTACCACGCCTCTTACATGTTGAAGCTGAACATTTAGACAATTATCAATTTATTGCTTTCTTGAATTTGGAAGATCTTCTGGAACGACTTGAAGGGCATTTAAGCTGGATTGATTCATACTTTCCTCATACTTTGTTGCTGAGTAGAGTGATATCCTTGGATCACTTACCTTAGAAGACCTTTAACCAGTTACAACGTTAATGCTTAAAAAATACATCAGAGCCAGCCTTTTGGACTATTTTAAGTCCCCGTTCCACAAATTTGACTGATTGAATTGAGACCGAATTTATCTTTTTATGTTAAATCCTGGTTTAACCAGATTTGTTGATATAAGTACCGCAAAACGAAAACAGGAAAATCCTTATAATGCATGATATCATATTAAAAGTTAAATAGTTAAATTCTCATGCCAAATATCTGTGATAATCTGCATATAACATATGTGAAAGCATATTGTATGTTATATAGTATATATCGAGGGTCAATAAAATCATTATGAATTAATCAGGCTAAACGCTATTGACCTTGAGAGTTATTTTTAAATCTCTATGTAATAAAAACCAAAAGATTACTTTGCATGGCTTTGTATATACGTGTTCGTTATAAATGTTCTATATAGAGTGTGGATTATACTTCATATGAGCACTTTGGAGTCGTTCTTGTTAACCAAATTTACTAATTCTCCATGTTTTTTAGTTATAGGTCAAGCATATTTACTATTGGATGAGTCTATCCTAATCATAATCAGCGCGTTGTTGTAAAAAATCAATTGTACTTTTATTTTGTGATAATGTCTGAATTTTTTTTTACTATATAATATATTAACTTACATGTATTGTATATTGCTATATAATATTCTGTATTTAAAGAATATAAAAATGTATTTTATTACCATATTCCTAAATTCTAAGTTTGATTTTATTTTAGATGCTTCAAATTAGTTATTTTTTTTTTTTTTTTGCTTAGATATATAAAATTGTATATTATACGTATATATAAACAATAATTACAAATTAAAAGTTAATATAATTTATCTTTTAGACTATATATGAAGTTTAGTATACAAATTTGAACAGCTATGTCGAATATGTCGAATAATGCTATTCAATCTGCCATTTACCATTCTGAATGGTAGATCAAATGGCATTATTTGACGTGTCAAATATCAGTTTGAATGACAGTCGAATGTTACATTCGACATGTCAAATTTTTTTATAAATATATTTATTTGAATTAATAATAATTTAAAGGTTTATGTTTATAATTATAGTACTGTAGAATATATTCGTTATTTTATTTTTTTTTAAAAAAAATTAATCTTATAAAGTTAAAAAAAAAAAAAAAAGATAAAGATTAGGATTAGTTAGATTTAGAATTAAAATTAGAATAAAATTGTATATGATCCATTTTTTATTGTTTGCATAAATGGGGTTACTCTGGTAAAATTTTGAAATACATCAAATATATAGTGCACTATACCATATTTGCGCGTAATCGTAATAACGCCCCCATGCGCTCTATTTTGGGTCCCTGTGAGCAAGAATCCGATGTTTTTTAAAAAGGCTATTATAATAACTAAATCAACAACAGAGTTTTAAACTCAACCCATTAGAAAACACATTTTGGAGTGTTACAAATTAAAAACAACTATGGTATTTTGTCCTTTCCACTTTCGTGACAGTGCAGAATTTGAAAATATCGAATAGACAACCTACGCATGATCTTATTGTTCATCATGAGTATTATTACGAAAAAAAAAAAAACCCAGAATTTGTCTGGAAAATCAATGCAAACCAAAAATTAGGCTGGTGCTATATGGTGTCTTTGCCTTGAAAATGACCTTATGGGACGGGACTATGTAGATTTTATGAATAAAAAATTAAAATTTCTAGCCATCTAATAATCCAATTCAAATAATTTTTTATTTTTTTTATTTTGTAAACTCACTAAGCTCTACAAAATAAAAAAAGGTTATTTGAATTGGATTACCGGATAGCTATTTTATTCATAAAATCTACATAGTCCCGTAAGGTCATTTTCAAGGCAAAGACCCCATATACTCAATATGAGAAAATTCCTCATGACTGTCGTCCCGACAGGCCACTTCCACTTCAAAAATTCGAATTATGACCATCAACCGACAGACCATAATTTCTTAAGTAATGGCTGTCGTCTCAACAGGTTATCAAAATCATAGCTTCTAAAGCAGACTACTACCAAATCAATTGCTGGGGTAGGACAAAAAAACCAACAAGCAGAAAAAACAAATTACTTTATCTGGGAAAAACTCGTTTCTTTAAATACCACTAATGATTACTAATCGCAGATATACGTCATTATCACAAAATCACAATTAAGTTACACAAAAGGCGGGTTCGCATTATTTCGAGACGCGCATGGGTAATATTTGAGTAACAACCAGTTTTTTGAATTTCAAATTAACGCCTCGGCCTGCTATTACACGCAAATACCTTCTTCACCTATTACATTATAGAAACTCTTCTTATTTTGTTTTACAGTGTTTTTTTTTTTTTTTAATATTAAAGGTGAAACCTTGCTCTTATCTTTATTAGATTTAACAAAAACTTCTTATATAGTTAAAAAAAGATTTTATTTTTTAAATCTAAACCTAAAAAAAAGAACTCAGACATATATCTAAGTAAACCTAAATACCTATTTGTGGTCTAAACCTACCAGAGTGGCCAAGGCTTATCTAGATTTGGAAATAAGTAAAAATAATAGAGAGATGTAAAAAAAATTTGATCTAGTCTGAGTATCATGTCTTGACTTTGTAGAGAGTATTAGATATAAAAGAATTAAAAAAATTTTTAGAAGAAGAAATTAAGTTTGAATTAGATAAAAGAGTGGAATTAGAAGTAGTACTATTAGTGCTTGGAGTAAGATTGGATTGTGATCTCGAAATACAATAGGGAATTTAAATATTTGTATAAATTTGTTCATTTAGGTAAAGTAAAAATTAGATAATAAGAAAGTAAGCAGTTTTGTTAGAGAAAATATATAAATAGTATATTAATAATATCAAGTAGAACCAGGCCAGAAAGTATAGAAAACAAAGATGGTTTTAATGTAAAAAAGTGGATTTGTAGGCTATCAAGGTTTTTAATTTGGTTAAAAAGATGGGATATTTGAATTTGTAAAGTTTGAAGTTTACTAGAAGTTAAGGTATACTATAAAGAGATATTAAGCAAAGTTAAAAGAGGTTCTAAAGAAGAGCAAGTAGTTCAATAAAGTGTATAGATAGGTTGTTAGCAATAATGACAGGAGTTGGGATATGAGAGATATCTCTTGTAAAGAATATATAGAGATTAAAAATCATCAAGTAGTAATTTAACTTGAAATATTTTAAGTATAGATGATTGAAAGCTATAAGAGAAGTTTGAAAATTTCTAATTATTATTAAAATAAGATGTCTTAATAAATATCTTGTAAGAGATTAAACTATTGTAAAAATAGTGTTAAAAAGACTATTATACAAAAATATTTGCTTTACAAATAGTTTTAATGCTGTGATAAATAGCAAGCTTCAAAAATAATTATTAAAAGTTGGAATAAAAGATAGATTATAAATATTATAAGAGTTAAGAGTAAAAAGTGGTTACAAGCAAGTTTATTGGCTTTGTTATTAAATTTATTATCCTGGTGTACAAAAACTTTATGAAAAGTAATTAAGAGGTTAAAGAAGAATAAAAGGTTTAAGAATATGTTCCAAATAGACTAGTAAGGGGTGTTTGAATAATTTGCAAATATTGATAACTAATTAGAAATTAGTATAGATATAAATAATAGAATTTTATAATACTGTGCAAATAGCTAACAAAATTGTTAAAAGTTCTGCCTTGAAAGAGCAGGGTCAGAATTCAATTTGGCTTAAAAAGTATAATGAATAGTGCTATTGTTAATTTGTAGCCACTTAATATCTATAGTGCACTAAGAGTTATCTAAATTTGTAACTGATCTATTAGTATAAAAAGTAAAATTAAAAAGGCTGCTATTTTAAGAAGCTATAAGTTGTAGTATGTCAAATACAGGACTAGATTAGAAGATTGAAAAAATTTAAGTATCTAAGATATTAATATTAGATAGAGAAAGGAGAAGACTAAATTAAAAAAGTGTGATAAAATATAAAAGATTAAGATAATTGGTTTAAAAGTCAAGTATTTTGTCAGGAGTAAGTCTGCTAAGAAATTTTGTAGTATATCTCATAGAGATAAAAACAGTATATTTATTGGCAATAATGTTTAAATTTAAAGGGCAGTTGGTATATAAAGTAATAATAATAGAAAGTAAAAGATAAGGTTGAGATAAGAGGTTTATAATATTATATTGCTAGTAGTTAAAAAGAGTATAACTAGAAGTATTGAATTGATAGCAAGCTTTACTAACAATAATTTAGTTTTCTAATAGAGAAATAAGCTAGGGCTTAGAATATTTATAAAAATATCTAGTATTAAAACTGTAATAGTTAAAAAAAGGTAATTAATAGTTAGATAATAAAGTACAATTAGATAAATTAATAAATTGGTTTTTTAGAAAGGTAAACCAAAGAGAAGTTTTTCTTTTGAGATTTTGTTAAGTCTAGAAAAAATATGTTTTCAATCTAAAAGACAGGAATTGTTAGATATAGTTAATTGATCAAGAAAAAGTATATGGTGGTGATAAAGTTGTTTTTTGAAAGTAGAGTATTTAGAATAAGAAGTAAGAATTGATTTAAGAGATATTGAACCTTCTTGAATAGTAAAAAGAATATGAAAGTAAGTGCTAGAGTTAAAGGAGCAATTGATATATTTGAAAAGTTGTATTATTTTAAAACTTGTAGAGTGTCTGTTAGGTCTATTAATAATAGGATTAAGATGTGTTAGAATGCTTGTAAAGGACCAAAGGTTGCTTTGAAGTTGTTGAACTTTAATTTGAGTAAATAACTCAAGCAAATCTTTGTTGTTTAGTCATTTGAGAAAATTGAAAATATAGTGTTAAAGTTAAATATCCAAAATGTTTTTGATGTTGTAAATTTAAAAATATAAAATAATATTAGTAAGAGTAGTGTAGCTAAGTTTAGCTTTATGTTTAACAAGGCCAATATGCTGTGAAAGGATTTTTTTACAATAAAATTGGCTAAGAACAATATTTTGAAAGCAATATTCAATAGATAATAG